TCCTCTTCTTCCTCTTCCTCCTCCTCCTCCCGGGCTCCGCCGTCTATATGCGCGTTCGACGTCGCTACCCCATCTCGGCCGTCTGGGTTGTACGACGTATACGGTGAATGCGGTCGGCCTGTCAGCACGGGGTTGAGGGCGTGCGAGAGGGGCTGATAGTGTTGGGGGTTGGAGGCAACTGTGCCGTCCATCGGGTCGACCGACCAGAAATACTACGGATGAATAAACTGGTGTAACGGAATAGAATATCAACGAGGAATGCAGGTTGATATCTTTGTTTTTTCGTCGTAAACCTGGTATTAAACCAAGTGTGGGAACCGAGAAATGGAGGTTTTCGTCCCGTAATCGTCACCCTACCTCGAGATCCCCGCGAAAACCTGCAACCCCTCGTCGATTATATATTCTCGGGTATCTCGTATGCTCGTCAAGATGTTTTTTGTGTCCAGAATCCGAGTAGAAAACGCTGTCAAAGAATCGCTTTGGGGGTGTGAGGACAGAAGAAGGAAATACCTCGTCACGCCCAACGAACTTTGATATCGCAGGGTTACTGCGTGGGATCACCATGACCAATATGAAAGCTCCCACAAAAATAGCTTCCGTAGGGTTTCCAAACTTATTTCGCTTCTTATACGCTCGAGGTCAAACCCCTCCGATATTTGACACCAACTCTGCAAAGCAATTGCCGTGAGCTCAGCGAAGACTTCCGAATCTTCCTTCATGTCCATATTCTGCGGGCGTTTGTGACGCTTTGGTCCGAAGCTTTTGTAAAACAATCAAAGAACAAGCTTCTTGTCAATTAGAGAACAAACAGATGAGGCGAAAGCATCGCTCTCTTTTCGCTCGGTCTCATGCCACCAGAGCCTTATCTCAACCTGAATAGCGCATACAAGGACTTTGTGAAGGTTTGGGAGGCCAATCCGTTTTTCTGAAGGGCCGCAAGCATCATCCGGCTGTTGACGTACCCGGATAGCCGGAACGGACCGTTCAGAGTTTTCGACTTCAAATTTTGGTCGGTCCCAGCACCTGCAGAAATGACGACCGATGCAGCTCCTCCAGCAAAGGTATTTTCATCGGATCTCTCTATGAAACCTCTCTAAATCAAAGGTATAGGGAAAGACGAAAGCGAAGACACGATATTTGAAGCGCAAGAAGGATCGCAGAAAGCAACGAACGAAGAGCCAGGTCCAAACAAGTACGGTCCCAGAAGATGAGGCGGTCCTTGATGATGACGAAAGCGAGGATGAAGAGGTTAATGCTGATGGAATGGATGTCGAGGACGTAGATGAAGAAGAACAGCCTGTGGTTGAAACAGAAAAAGAGGCTCGTCCAAAGAAGAAGCGGAAATTAGACGAAGACTCGACTTCGAGCGAAGATGAACGAGAGGAGTCTCCAAAGTTACCGAGTCGCTCTCCTCCGCCGCCAGCTACCTTACCTTCTTTCCCCCTCCCTGTCGCCCCGAAAGCACCTTCAAAAGCAACACTCGCTCTCCAAGGCCTCGACAAAGCCCTACTCAGCGCAGAGCTCATAGATCCCTCTCTCACCCTTTCTCTCGACGCGCTCGAGAGGCCCCCCAATGAGGTTCCAATCCTAAGCGAGAAGATGAAGAAGAGGTTGACGGAACTCGGTATTTCGGAACTCTTCGCAGGTGCTCGTATTCTCGTCAAGATGTACTTCTCGAGATGTGCTGATATATTTGAACAGTACAAACTGCGCTTCTCCCATTCCTCCTTCCTCCGCAAAAACGACATCGTGCCTTGTACATGCCATACGATCCTCCACGAGACGTATGTGCATCTGCGCCGACTGGGAGTGGTAAGACACTCGCGTACGTGGTGCCAATCGTAGAGGTTCGCGATAGCCTTTTGCTTAGTTGTTGCAAGTTTTATTCACCTTCCTCGTAGATACTCTCGGCGCGGATAGCAACGCGTCTGCGCGCGCTCATCGTCTTACCGACGCGTGATCTCGTCATGCAAGTGCAGGAAACCTTTGAAGCGGTCAGTAAGGGGAGGGGATTAAAGGTGAAGAATGAAGAGTTATCCGAAAGCGACAAACCCTGACACTCCCCTTTAGATTGGTGTTGCGACAGGCCAGCATTCATTCGCTCATGAACAGGGGCAGCTCGTTGCGGACCAAGTGACGAAACTGCACGGTGGATCCAGCAAGGTGGACATCCTGATCTGCACGCCAGGCAGATTAATCGACCACCTCAACGGGACTCCGAATTTCTCGCTCCAGCACCTTCGGTTCCTCGTGAGTAATAACTTATTGAAAAAAAAATTAGTTGCTCAGAGCACATTTCTTTCCAGGTCGTAGACGAAGCAGACCGTCTCCTTGCACAGTCATTCCAGGACTGGCTTTCTCAGGTGCTGACCGCCATCCGCCCTCCGACCACGAAACCTATTCCCGACTCTCTATCATCTCTAACTCTCGCTCCCTACCACGATGCCCTTGCTCCCTCGTGGATCGCATCAATACCCACAGACTTTGACGACAAACAAGAACCGTCTTGTCAGAAACTGCTCTTCTCCGCTACACTCACACGCGATCCCAGCAAGATCGCCGCGCTCGGGTTGCGTGACCCGAAGTACTTCGTCGTCCAAGGCGGTGATAGCGACGGAGTTCACGTTACAGAGAAATTCACGATGCCACCGACGCTCAAGGAACACATGGCGGTATGCAGTACGGTGCAAAAGCCTGTCATACTGTTCCAGCTCCTGCAGGCGCACAACGTCAGAAATGCGTTGGTGTTCACCAAGTCAGCGGAGTCGACGACTCGCCTCGTACGACTTTTCGAATTCTTCAAAGCCTCTTTTTGTGCCGCAGATGGGAATGCCGGTGGGATGTCTGTGACGATGCAAGCGTACTCCAGTGACTTGAGCGCTTCCGAGCGGCGTGCGATTCTTGAGAAATTCAAGACCAAGGAGATCGACATGTACGTCTCATTCATGCATTGATTGGAGGATGCTAACTGGCTCAATCGAATATGTAGTTTGGTCTGTTCGGATCTTATCTCGCGAGGTATAGACATCACCCACGTATCGCACGTCGTGAGTTACGATGCACCCATCGACATGCGCAAGTATGTGCACCGAGTCGGGAGAACAGCGAGAGCCGGGCGCGAAGGCGACGCCTGGACGCTCATTGAGGACCAGGAAGCACGACACTTCAAGATGATGATGCGTGAGGCCGATCATTTGAACAAACTCGCGAAGCTCAAGATCACAGAAGCGGACTTGCAGCCGCTATTACCACATTACGAGGTACGTTTTGTCGGCCGTAAAGATGATCACCACTCACAATCGCCGTGTATCAGAATGCACTTCGAAAACTCAAGGAACTTTACGGCCGTTCATGATATGCGTGAATTAATGCCTTTCGAAGCTAGATATTACATTGCCGTACACCAAGAGCCTTCTTCGCCTGCATCTCCAGCACAGTTCGTCAGTGATGCAGTTTCTCTGAATGGGATCAGAGCTCATCACGTTTGCATTTGCACTGTTCGGCTTCTGGGATGTTCGACATAACCTGCGGTGGTCATCATGTCTATCACACTTCCTCAAAGCGTAAAGAGAAGGTATAGGTACCGACCTGTTCTTTGTGGTTGCCGCAGCCCTGCGAGATGTTCATCGTCATCCTCGTGAAGAGAGCATACGTGCGGCGCTTACCATCCACGTTCTGAGACCGCAAGTATTGCACTTTGTCTCCTTACATGCGTCAATGGGGACTTGGGTGTTGAATGACAGTGCCATTACGGTGAAGTTCTTTGGCAGGTTTGCAGAAGAAGAGTTACGAGATCTCTGAGAGTGATCGTGAGTGCGGGTGGCAGAGATAGCAGCGAAGACTCGACGGCTTCAAATAGGTCCCAACACGTGCACAGCTTGCAAATAGATTGATAGCGTCACGAGGACGCATGACCGTGAATATTAGAGATCAACGCGGCGATCTTTCATGGGAGAGCGGGGTAATTGAGAACGAGGTCTCGGTCTCGGGCTCGAGTGGTAAGATTGATTCTGTGCTCGGACACGTCGACGTTTCGCTTTCAAATTCTCTGAATTGATGTGTAACTTGAGTGGTTATATCGAGTGGGACATCGAAATTGATGATTGAAGCCTACTCTCGTGGAACGCTGACTCGCCCGCTTGCTTCACTGTTGTGAGCTCTTTTAAATTCTATGCGAACATTTGAGGAGAGTTCGGAGTCGAGGCCTTGAGGAGTACTAGTGGCAGCGGCCTGACCCGGGGTGAAATCGACAGTTGTCCACACAACGAATCCTCAAATTCCGCAATGAGATTCTTCAGCAGTGAACGAGCAGAAGGCACACGAAAGGATGAATGTAAGAATTTCAGGTTGCGTTAAATACTCACAAGGGATCAAGTATACGTGAGTGCTCCCCTGAACTCTCCGTGTGAGTGGGTGTGGGTGGGTGTGGGTGTGTATGTGTATGTGTAAACCTGGCACGGTCACGGTCCCAACACTGGAACACTGGTTGTCGTGTCGGTCTATGTTGTTGGGGCGACTCGGACGCCCTCGTACCAACAAGAAACCATTCTTCAATACTCAGCACAAAACATAGAAAAGGCTTTAGCCTATAGAATCAATGATCGCCACTATGACGTTTCTTCACTCAACGAACACAGAATGTGGAAGACGAGCGGAACCAAATTTAAAATCACCAAACATTTAAGTTCAAACTGACCGCGGCGCGGCTCCCTCCTATTACTCCTATTAGTACTGCACTAGTCAAGAGCGAAATACCATCGCGGTCTCGTCAGAAAAAAGCTCATCAAAAATCACAGACAACTCGTATCGCTCTGTAAAGCTCCAAAAACGTCCAAAAGATGAGCGAGAACAAAACTGTCAACAGCAGAACCCACCTCGATACGCCGTCTCGCGCTTTTTCCATGTAACACCAGTCAAGAGTGAAATACCATCGTTCTCCCCTCAAAAAAATCGCCAAAAATCACAGAAAATTCGTATCGTCCTGTAAAGTTCCAAAAAGCTTCGGATACGGGGAATCGAACCCCGGGCTATCGCGTATCTATTTTTAGAACTCAGGGTTCAATTCCCTGGATCCGAATTGAGAGGCGATAATGTTAGCCACTACACCATATCCGACTTGAAGAACATTTACCTTTTAGTTACTCAAACGCTGCATGAAAGATGTATATAAACGGTCAGAAATGGAGTTTCTTATTTGACTCCAAGTTGTTGCAAATCCATGCGTAGAAAAAAGGGGGAGGGGGGGGGGGGAGGAGATGGATAGTCGGTCTCTACCGTAATCGAGCGACCTCTTCAAACTCGTCTCAGAGACACGCTCTGGTGCTCACTATACTTTTGTCTGCCTCTCCATGAGCCTCTCTGGACATTACGCTACGAGCTACTGAGTTTTGCAGTCCAAGAACCTTGATTCAAAGACAGTTTGTTGTCCATTGGAGTCTATGTAGGCAGCAAGATACATGTATGCGATGACCGCATCAAATAATAATATTATAATTCGTCCGATCTCACTTGCACCCTGTACTATGAGGCTCTCGGCACTAAAGGACACGGGCAGGATGCATGCAGGGAGGCCTACCTGATCGTGGAGTTGAGCTCGGAAAGCAACACAGTATTCGGGTAGCCCCAACTCGAATAAATCGAATAACTTGTCAATACGGCCTCTTCGGGTTCGCTGAGATGGATCACACACGTCGATGAATACGCCGTGCGCTTCATACGAAGGAGGCAGATTGCAAGACATGTAATTTCGAGCTATTTTCCTATATAATAGAAGAGAGACCAGTACCAAGTTATCAACCCAAGACAAACTACAACCCACATACCGTCTGCAGAAATGCGCTTCTCTTCGTTCATGTCGCTCGTCTTAGGTATCGCTATGTTAGCGATGCCCATCGCATCTGCGCCAGTCGACCCAACTACTATGGAAGACGATGGCTGCTCGGGCACCCTTGGAAAGCGTGATGAAGACTTCCAACAGAAATTTTAGTTGGAGAGGAATGATTCTGGTAAATATTGGAGTGTCGACCGAAGGTTCGTGCATTAGATCGACTTTACCCGAGCCCACACACTGACTGCAAAGAAATAGGATAACCTGTGCTCAGACGTTCGCTCACGCGAAGCAAGAGTTGGGATGAACAATGCTCACGAATGTCACTGCCTCGCATGTATTTGTATAGCATGGTCTTGAAATGGGATGGCCTGAATCGAAATTCCGCTGAGATGCAAATGCGGTGACTGCGCGAATAAAAATAAAAGAGTTATAGGACTGATCAGAAAGTGGATGATAATCGGATCTCTTGTGAGAAGAGACCGTCTCTTGAAGGACAATAGCTATTCCGTTCATTGACGTCGCCTGAAGAATCGGAGGATGCATCGGAAGCTCGGGGTTCGTTATGAACTCCGTTTGCATGTGGAAGCTTTGAACTTGAATTGAATCAAATCCAACGACGCATCAGTTGGTAGCACAAGAATAGTTGCGTAAAAAGATGTAAAAACACATGCTCAACTTGAAGAATTCTTAGATATTGCCGTAAGATTAGAGCTCGAAACTTGCTCACCTCATTGCTAGAACCACCCATTCGGTCTGATTTGAACAATTGCCTCGACGGTTATAGATGAGACAATGCAGAATGCGTACTCGTTGTCTAAGAATACCATTCTGCCATGTTTGAGAACACTGTCACTACTGCGATCAGCGCAAAATGTGTCTCCCCGGGCTCGGAAAAAAGACGACTTATCTCGCAGGTGGGATGTTTTGAGACATATTTATCAAAAGACCCAGGTGGACTGACTCCACGCCAATATCACTGCGCGATTATGATGGTACGCCCGCACGTATAAGAGGGGTCGACGCCGTCCCAAAGTCCAACCAGTTTCCAAGCCCTGCGCCTCTCAGCGTAACAGACAAAATCCCAAACCTACCAGAATACCAATCGCAATGCAGTTTCGCGTCCAATCATTGATCTCGCTTGCATGCGTCGTCATCATGTCACTATCGTCCACAGCGGTCGCAGCTCCTGTTGACCCACGCGCTCAGTCTCCAGGCCCGTGCCACTCGCCTGTTTGCGAGCCCTAATGGCCGAAAATCAAGAATCGCGTATGTATGATGTCGGATCGCTATGGCGAGTACTGATATTCTCTCGAAGGAATTTCAGTTCTCTGCGGACGTGCACTGACGTCATGGCGTTAATATTTGGAAATTGGGCAGCGTATCTTTGTAACACAGACCTTCGTTAAAGGGTAAACAGACAGAGATTCGTTTAGTGAATGTTACTGCTGGTGTGACGCTAGGCACATTATTTCGCGATCAAGCACGGTCTGATTTCAAACAATCGAATGTCCCTCAAAATACATATCCAATCTACAGGCTGAAATAATTCAATTGCACTTGACGTACATCCATAACACGGCAACTCACAAATTATAAATATTTATTGCTTTTTGCCTCCTCCAAAAAAGTTCATGAGGCTCTTCTGATTCCCGCCCGTCGAAGGCCTTCGCTTTGGATCCCCACTTTGCTTTACGGGTTTGGCGGCAGCCTTAGGCGCTGGTGCCGCTATCTTCTGTTGAGTTTTGGCTACGGGTGCTTTCTTCGTCGGTTCCTTTGCTTTTTCTCTCGGGTTGGAAGACTCGCTCTTCGCAGGCTTCTCTTCTTCCTCTTCACTGACCGATTCGTAAGAGGAATAATCCTCGGTAGCTGTCGCCCGATGAGTTTCGCCAGTGATCGAAATTGAGAATAATGAAACTTGCCCATATATCCTTTCGCATCTGTCGTCACTCGACTCTTGACGATCCTCTTCTTTTTCAAGCCGTTGCGGCCGACAGGAATGACTTTCTTTTCCTTCCGTTTGCGAGGCTTGACTTTTGGAGCGGGGTCCGAGTCTTCGTCCATGGCGTTGTCGGCAGGCTGGGATGGCTCTTCCACATCTGGCTCGCTTTCCTGAGGCTCTTCGGGCTTCGCTACGGCTTTCCCATTCGACGTCGACGCGCGAATCACCTCAGCTATTCAAATTTATCAGACAAAATCACTGAAATATAGGATAACGAGACCGAACAGTCATCGATGTCCATCATAGCACGAAGGCTCTTTTCACGCTCAGAGTCAGAGTCGTCGAATGCGATCGAAGAGGCTCTCTTGCGTAGTCGTCGTTTCGGCTTGACTTCCTCGTCCTCGTCGTCGGACAAGAGCGCCCCCTTCTTGACTATTACGGATGGACCTGCTGGCTCTGGGGAGGGCTCCTTCTTGGCTTGCTGCTTCGGTTCCGGTTCCTTTTGCTTTCCTTTAGTAAATATACTGGGTACCTGCTACAAATCTTACAATTCCATACTGTACGATCGTAGCTTCGGACTTACCTCTACTTGTTCCTTTTTGACAGGTGTCTTAGTGGCCTTTGCGATGGGTTTCTTAGGCCCCTCCTGCGTAGGCGGTGGTGCAGCGGGTTGGGCTGGTTTTGACACCGGTGAGTCTTTAGGCTTGGGTTTGCCAAAGAAGTCGAGCTTGCCAGTCGCCTTCGGCTTTTCTTTCACGACTGGAGATGGCTTTTGTACGGGCTCTGGAGCTTTGGTTTTTGGGGTCTCTTTCGTGGATGCGGTGAGACTTGAAGGTGTTGTTTTGACGTCGACACGCTTGATGGGTCTTCGAGCTCCCTGGGATGACCCAAGCGCCCTTCCGAACTTCTTGAGGTCGTCCAGCTTGAACGAACTGTCGAGTTCTCGAACGGATACGTTGGCGCTGCCAATACCAGAAGTCTAGCGAAAGCGTCAAAGAGATATAGCATAGAGTAGAATACGCAGCACGTACGGTCTGTTCAGAGGATGATAATGTGTATATATGACAGCTGCGAACGCTTGAGAAGGAAGCTTTGACTCCTGCAGTCATTTATCAGGATGCAGAGCGCCATTCGACGGACTCAAGACGCACCTTCCAGATTGCTCCCGTCCACAATCAAGCACTTCAGCTCGGTGCTATGGGTGGCATCAACAGGCGCATCCACATCCATCTCATCCTCATCCGCCGATCCCAAAGTACGCGTCTCACCAGTCACCATGAACGTTGCGTGAAGTGGCCGCTCGGATGACTTGTTCTGCTCATAGTAGCGATTCAGCTCACTAGATCAATCTTCAGATACCTTTCGACAGCTAAAATGGGATGGTCGACGCACTTTTTAGCCTCGTTGACGTGTATACGTAGTTTGCGACTCAGCAAGCGATATGAAATCTGTTCGATGCATTAGTTTTCCCGTCGAAGCACATCGTCCATTCCCGTCACATACTGGTGCTTGCGATGATTGCAGTTCATTTTCTATGAATTGAGAAGGATCAGACATTGCGAAGGTAAAGGGTAGGTGTCGAACGCGTCGCGGTTGTCGCGTCGACGCGTCGCACGAGAACCAATTACGTAACGACGTCAATTGAATTGGCCGGCGAATTTGGCGTCTGCAATAGTTGAACCCGACTTTCATCCTCTCTTCAGGACTCTTGCGTCTGTATCACGGTGGCCAACTCATTTCATGTTTCGCTCGAAGGCACAAAGTGACACTGAAAGGTTTTCGAAGAACGACGCCATATTTCACAGATTAGGCGTTGATCTGGCTTCACATGATGAAGCACCGTTTATAAATGCCGCGACGAAATTGAACGGGTGGATGAAAAACGCAAGAGCATACTATCCAGAGGCTCGGCCAAAGGTACGAGTCTCGAATGGACTGGAGACTGTAGAAATGACCATGCATTAGATTATTGAACTGGTCGAGGTACGACATCGATCCTCCACACGGACGAACCTTGACGAGGCCCTTCATATCAGACAGCAGGCAGAACGCTTGCCACTTTGAGCAACTTGCCACCTGGCGTTCTCTACCCTCCGGAGTCTTTCTCCTCGTTGCTTCACCCCCGTCGCATCGTATTCAACGATCTCGTGAACACACTGCTCGATCACGTACGAAAATACGAAAGTGATGGCGAACTGAATAGTAAGTACTTTTAGTTTCATTCGGTTTTTAAGATACTGAGTAGATCACGAAGAACGCGCAATCCTTCTAACAGGCTTAGCCAGGAAAGCGAGAGACCTTGAGACTCGTTCAACGGAAGGACCCTCGGAAATACACTCTATTGCT